GTATTTCTGAAAAAAGACTATCTTTAGAAAATTTTCGATGTCATTTTCATTTAATCTTGCATGTTATATGCCTGATAAAGCAGCGTTTGTGAGCTCAGCGCTGCTTTGTGTACAGTCTTTACAGGGGAAACCTGTTTCTCCTGCTTTAAAGCACCTCCTGCTTGCAGAGAATTAATTTGCATTTTCAGCAAGTCCATCTGATTTACGCAGCAAACATATTTTGCTTTTCCTATATCCACGGGCGCTGCGGATAATCCGCGGGGCGGGTAATAAAAATGCATTCTGATTATTTGCGGGTGGGTCGCTGGTGGATAAAATAAATCATAAATGATGCAAATATTAACTACATTTTTTTAAAATATTTTTTTTCATGAGGCAGACGATTTTGTTTGTGTGTGTGTGTGTGTGTGTGTTCGTTCGCCTGATTGGGAAGTTGCAGTGACCGAAACGGTGACATTCCAGATAAAGTTTGAAAGGAGTAAAGCCTGTGTTAATGCTATTGAGTAGGCTAATATGGCCAAAGGAGATATTTTGTTTTATTAATAAATGTTCATTTAAAAGCAGCCCACGATCAGCGTGTTATGTTACTGTTATCCCTTACGGCTCCGAGGTTTTGTTCCGTCCTCCACGCTGACACAACTCACAAAAGACCATTTTTAGTCAAGCAGCGCGGAGAGCCGCTTCAGAAACGTGCCGCGGCTGGCTGGTATAAACACAAGCATTAGAGCAGCCGCGATCAGCTCCGGTTCCCATGGTGCCGTAAAGGCTAGGGTTGGGAATCGATTCCCAAAAAAAAATCTATTCCTCGATTCAGAGGCGTTGGGAATCGAGAGCCGATTCCATCAAGGTTCCTTTTCAGTTCAACAAAGCTTATCTATGGGTGCCTCTCAAACGGAAGGCTGCATCCTACGAAGGCTTTAAACTGAAAGAAAACGAGTCGGTACTGAGATCATCTGAATTTTAGGATGCAGCCTTCCGTTTGAGAGGCACCATTCACCTCCGTCATGCTCACTAAAAGCCGTAATTGAGAGTTGTGAGATAAAAGATTATTTTCATTTTTATATTTTTATTACCATTCGCCTCCCTCATGCTCGCTAAAAGTGATTAGAAGTCATTAGAACCAGTTAAAAAAAACGATTCAGAGGTCATTTTACGGTGGACCTGGCTTGTCCACAATTCTGAGTGCTGCACGACAGAATAGATCATGACGTGATCAAGGGTCTTGATCTTATTTCCATCTAAAATACTATTTTTTTTTTAACATTAATATCAGCCAATGATAATTATAAAAAAAAAGTCCAGAGCATAGATCAGTGGCTGAGATCGCATCTGATTGACAGATAAACCATGAGATCAGTTATTGTTAATGTTCTGGTTATTTTGTTTCAGTGTTTGTTAATTTTGTGCAAAGCATACAGTCAAAGTAAACTTTATCATTCAGCTGAACTGTGCACATTTATGTCATGTTCAATTCATGCGATAAACGCATGTCCCTGCTGAGCTGTGGGCTATGATGACTAATTTCACGGGCAAAGCAGTCAAAATTACAATTTAAGCATCGTCATTTTTTTATTTATTTTTTATTTTTTTACAAATAAAGCTTCATATTATGAGAAGGATACTTTCTACGACCTTTATCCTGCAGTCATGGTGAGATTATAGATTCCTTCAATTATAGATTCCAACAAGAATCGAAAAAGAATTAAAAACAACAGTGAGGAATCGATTCCAGAACCAGGAATTTAACTCGATTCCAAAAATTCCGGAATCGAACAGCCCTAGTAAAGGCTAAAGTATACTTCGGCCGTCCGCATTACGTCATTTTCATCATCAGGAGGGCTCTGTGCAGGCAATTTTTTGAGACCACGCGGACTATCCGCATACAACAGTGTATGCGCGAGGTGAAAGTTGAGCTCGTCCGTCCGCACTCATCCGCGGTTGAGTATACTTTGAAAGCTGTGCGAATGCGGCTGTGCGCGAGACTGAACGGAACGCAGAAAGTGAAGTATACCCGGGCCTGACGCGTCGCAGGCGCGTGCAGTGAGGCGCAGATCAGCTCTAACGTCACTGAATCTGCTGTTAAAAATGAACCATCCATTCATCATATCATCATGCAAAACATACACGTCAAATAGCGAATTTTTCATTAGGCTCGTTTGAGATGAGCAAAATCTGCACAGAACCGATCACCGGTGATCACCGTGAGATGCATGCTGGTTAGAAAATTGTCAGAGTTACGTCCGACTTGCTCTGATGTCATGCTGACGTGTGCCAAAAAACTCTCGCGACGGCAAGGCGGCTGTGTCGGATTGTGCAGTCGAGCGCAGTTGCTCTCCACCGACTGCGTTGATCAAAAGCATGATGGGAAACGACTGACTGACGACCAGTGTTGGGGGTAACTAGTTACATGTAACGGAATTACGTAATTTAATTACAAAATAAATGTAACTGTAATCAGTTACAGTTACTGTTACATGTTTGAAAATTATTAACAGTTGAAAACATTAGAAATTTTGAAAAGTAATCAAAAAGTAATCAAATGTAATCAGTTACATTACTTTAATAAAGTAATTGAAAAGTTACACTACTTATTACATTTTAAGTAGGGTAACTTGTAATCTGTAACCTATTACATTTCCAAAGTAATCTTCCCAACACTGCTGACGACACAGCTTAATGCTCATTGGTTCAGACAACCGTGATGCTGCATTCTCTTCTAAAATATTGTTTTTTTTATCTGGTTCCATGTGATTATGTATTTAAATTATGCATGAATGTTCCCAAACACTATGACAGTGCGATCTCTATGTGAGATATGTGATTGTCATATTTCGATAAAAATCTAAAATACATGTTTGTATGAAAGTACAAATGGATGATAAATACACCTTTCGTATGGAATTAAATAGCAAGCACTTTGAGTGTCTTGTTCATCATATTTATTTTCATATAAAAGCATCTGAAATTATATCATGTTTATAAGCAACACAGCACGTGAGTGAGAATAACGCGATATCTGCCTTTGATCTCGTTGGTATCTGTTCCTCTTCGAGAGGGCAGAACTGTCCGTCTTGCCTGCGCTTATTTCACTCCTCCCCTCACTGCAGCCGCCTACTCTCACCTACATTTCAGGCGAGGCGAGGCGCATCTCAAACAAGCCTATCGTTTCTCGAAACGTCATATGACTGTGGCGCCAAATCATTTATGTCCCCATGCATCATGTACGTCGTCACGCGTTGACGTTATCAAATTGCGATCGGTTCGTGAGATCGGCCAAGTGTAGTGAGTACCGATCGAGTCATATAATGTGATTATCGGCCGATACCGATCTCCGGCCGATCGATCGGAGCATCCCTAATTTCTATCTTTTGACTTGTGTTTATCTGCTACACAGAGAAAAACAAAGAATAACCACCAGATGACAGTCAGCTCAGTTAATAAATCACAGCTGACAAAAAGGTACAGTTCCTGTGACTTCACACGCAATGTGAAGTCATGTGAGTTCAGGAAAGAGGACCAAAAAGACAGAATGCAGAAGAATTTCTGCACAGATACTCAATGACCGCCGCCGCTCTCCCGCTCGTCTCCATGTCTGGTTTCCTTCCACTCACAGCTGAGACCCACTGCTGAGTCATAACCAGTTCCTGCTGTGCTGAAGTCAAGCTGAGGTAATGCTTGCTGAAATTAATGCTTCTAAAACCTAGTGAGCCGCCTCACTGCTTACTGCCCACATTGGCATCTGCTTTCTAAGAGAGTTTCTTAACTGCCTTGGAACCTCAAAACTTCAAGTTTGCTATTAGCATGTTGTTTGAGTTAATGAGCATAAAATACTTCCTTCAAAAACATTAAGTCTTACTGAGCCTAAACTTTGAACAGTATATATATCATATTTTACTAATAATCTTGCCTTCCAGTGGGCTGTTAACCATTGTAATCAGACTACTCGATAAGTGAGTTTAACCGGATCAGCACAAAATCAACAGTTTTGTGAACTGGATCGATTAATTTATTAAAATGCCTCCAAAAAAAATCTATGACTTGCTCATAAATTGGACATTTATGCTTTTTTGTCATTTGGAAGCTTCATAGCCCTAATTCTCATTTCACTTTCATTACATTTAACAGAGTGGGGTCTGAATACTTTCCGTACCCACTGTATATACTGTATATATTAGGTTGACTTTTCCATTAACAATGTTTCAACTGTCATGACTTTACCTCTTTTATCTTATATCTACTTCACAAACCTCAAAGAACACATTATACTGGAAGATCATTATGCATTGTGTTTTTTGTAATGTCAGGGAAATACAGTTGAAATAAATCACTAGCATGATGTGCTTAGATTTTTTGACGATCAGTTCCTCTTGCTTTTGTGTCCTCGCAAAGTTTGCCATTAGCATGCTGTTAAGATAAGTGTGAGATTTTAATGAGCATAAATATCCACCTTATTTTAACCAAGAGAGAGCACAGCCATTTTCACTTGAATATGCAATGCTTCTGGTGTCAGTCGCTTTCATTTATTTTAGTTGCCTCATATTACTAGTAGGTATTTGCTATCATATTATTTTAAATTTACTATTGTGATCATAATCACATTGGTTTGTAGCACAAATAGTTTAACCGTTTACTGCACTTTGTTATACTTGTATATATTTACCCATACCAGCTAATAAATTGAAATAAGGTGGTTAAGTAATACAAACAACACATGAAACAAATAAAAAGATATATTAATGTCATAATAAATAAAATGACAAAAATTTAAATACTAATATTAAAAAAAAATATCTCTGTTTTGAAAGTCATCTTGGATTTTTTTTTTTTTACTGAGCTCGTTGCAGTGCATTTTGGGATTGCATTGTCAAAAAAGGACAGCCTATATGCAATGCTGCAGCATGATTAATTTGCCTATCTTTTGGAACTACCTTCATGCCTGAAGTGCGCCTACGATGCCATAAAAGTTAAAATGCTATGTCCATAGGCTTTTTATGACTCACCCAAGTGTGTGCAGGAGTTTTGAGGTGCAGTCTCTAGAGGGAACGTCTGTCCCATGCTCCGGCCCCCAAAGGGCCTCTTTTTGCAGGTGCACCTCAGTGGACAGTGGTGGCAATTCAGTTTCCCCAAAATCTTCTGCTTTTCCTTTCAGCTTTAAAGGATCTCTTTCCTGTCACCAAGCGTCGATCTCATGCTTCCTTCCACCTTCCAAGCCAATGTTCCCAAACTCCTCTCTCCCTCTTCTTTGAGTGGATCTCATACCAACTGCCCTTATTTTCTCCTCCACTCCTCCTCCTGCAACTCTCTCCACCCCCCTCTCCCTCTCTCACACGGGACCCTCCCTCCATACCACTTTCTCTCCCTCCACTTTATAAACGAGCTTGCAAAGCAGATCAGCATAGACACCGACGGATGCCTATCATTCCTTAAAGCAGAGGTCAAAGTGCAAAGTGAGTGTGTGTGTGTGCGCGCTTGCGTATGCCTTCTAATGAAAGCAAAGAAAAAAAAAAAGCAAAGGATAAAAGGGAAGTTCTGCCAACGGAGGGAGAGATGGTATTGGACATTTGACTTTGTGGTTATATAAAACACAAAACCAAGAGGAACTGATCACCAAAAAAACATCTAAAAACAGGCCATCATGTTAGTGAATATTTTAAATGAGATGTGAAACTTCTCTGACATTAAAAAGAACATTGATGACCTTCAAATATAATGTGCTCTTTGAGGTTTGTGAAGAAGATATAAGATAAAACATGTACAAATATAGCTGATGGTGTTTAACCTAAAAGTTAACCTACAAAATTAAATTCCATCATTATTTACTCATGTCCATGTCAACCTACATCTTTTGTGCAACACTGATGGGGAATATCCTGGCTACTCTTTTTAATATAATGAAAGTGAATTGAGATTTGAGGCAAAAAAGCAATGTCCAATTTGTGAACAAATTGTTCATTGGAGTTATTTTAATGAATTCACAGATCCAGTTGGCAAAACTGTTGATTTGTACTGATCCGGTTTTCAAGTTCAGCTCAACTCTTTTTTTCTCAACTCTCAAGATTATTAGTAAAATATGATGTACACTACAGTTCAAAAGTTTGGGGTCAGTTAAAGGGGTCATATGACGTTACTAAAAAGAACATTATTTTGTGTATTTGGTGTAATGAAATGTGTTAATGTGGTTTAAAGTGGAAATGAAGCAGTCAGTCAAGTTTACATTATTTAGTAAAGTGATTTCCACTTTGATTAAAAAATATATAACAAACATGAGTAATGTAACCATTTTAAAGAAAAAAGGTTGTTTGTTATAGCAAGGGCGCTGCCATCTTGCAGTACCACCGCGTGTGACGTCACGGGGTTGGTTCGCTCCGATGGCCAGTGAAGTAATATAAGCATTTCTTTACATTTTGAACACACGTTTGTTTTGAAATGGAGGAAGATTACATTGAAAGCACTGTTAAGTCCATAATAAGTGCAATTGCCTATGCATTTGAGCCGATACGGCGATGGGACCGAGCAGTATTAGGGGTTGAAGAAACAAAGCTATAACAAAACAACCTTTTTTCTTTAAAATGGTTACATTAATCATGTTTGTTATATATTTTTTAATCAAAGTGGAAATCACTTTACTAAATAATGTTAACTTAACTGACTGCTTCACTTCCACTTTAAGGTTCAAAAAACACATTTTCCACATACTGTACATTACTGTTTATCCTCTATGCCCCGCCTTTCTGAAATGCGTAGATTTTTTACAAACTCATAGATATATGGACGACCAAACCTGCAGATCTAGTCGTGTCCTCTTTTGGAAGGCCAAACAAAGTATTTTCACTTTCACAACGAAACACAGCGTCACACACGGCGGCCTTGAGTGAGCGGCGGCGGGGCGGATTCGACGAAGGAGTGGCCGGTGAGCTTGCGGCAACCACATGTGACGACCCCGGGCTGGACTCAGCACGAAGTTGATGTATTTCCTCAGCTCTAGGCATGACGAAGCTGATATCGTCCTCTTTTGGAAGGCCAAACAAAGTAGTTTTGCTTTCACAACGAAAGACACAGTGCCTTCACGACATGGCGGCAGCAACAATACTACAGCGAGAATAAAAGTCACGCCTTCTTTCTTTGCGTGAACATTTGGGCGGCGTTATGCAAATCTTCCCACATCGTGACGTAGACGTGGGGGCGTGTTAGAACGAGCCGTTTTAGGTAGGTGTGGTTAACTCTTAACTTTTATAAAGAATATCTCTTTGGATTTGAGACTTTAGTCTTTGCAACTTTACAGATCTTCTTTATGCACCAAGAGCTTGTAACACTCCAAAGAGAAAGGAAAATTTGAAATCGCATCATATGTCCCCTTTAATGTTTTTAAAGAAGTCTCTTATTCTCACCAAGGCTGCATTTATTTGATCAAAATTATGGTATTGTGAAATAAGTTAAAAGTTTTCTATTTTAATATATTTTAAAATGTAACATTTTAGCAGGCATTATTCCAGTTTTCAGTGTCCCGGGATCCTTCAGAAATCATTCTAACATGCTAATTTGGTGCTCAAGAAACATTTCTTATTATTAATGATGTTGAAAACAGTTGTGCTGCTTAATATTTTTGTGGAAACAATGATACATTTTTTTTCGGAATTATTTTTGGAATAGAAAGTTTTTCAAACAGAATTTTTTGTAACATTGTAAAAGTCTTGTGGACTGTATTTCTTTAAAAAAAAATCTTACTGACTCAAAACTTCTGAAAGCTAGTGTGAACTTTAGACTCGTAATATTGTGTACAGATTACATAAACTACATTTATTATACTTTTGTGTCCTTTGTGAAGCTTAAAAGCTCCAGCCCCAATTCACTGAAATTGCACAGCAAAGGAGCAAGTCTTCAACATTTCTCTTTTAGTGCTTCATAGAGGAAAGAAAATCAGACAGGTTGGAATGACATGAGGGCGAGTAAACAATAACAATTTATTTTTGGGTAAAATGTCCTTTTTAGGGTTAATACTGAATATAGGTCTTTGCCCTAAACAAAACCTCTGTATTACTCAAACATTCAATCTATTAGTATACACTCTGCCCTCTGCACTTTACCAAATCTTCATCCACATGAATTCCAAGAATGCAATTTTATCCAGCGGAGTACATTAGCAGAGAATGGGAATGCGGAAGTGTGTAGCCATGTAACTTTACAACAGCAGATCGCACTCCTAATCCCATTTCCTACAGCCAGATACAACTTCTCATTCAGCAGCGTATAACAAAGCAATTCTGTACCAAACCCCTGAATTACATTCATGTGTATATAAAAGCTTCTTTTAGATGGGAAACATCAGTCATGGGCCAGATCATCCCTGTGATCAACAATGCTCCAGATCATCCCTGTGATCAACAATGCTCCAGATCTTTGGTCACCATCCATGACCACATGTGATCATACAGCCTAAGGAGGTGTTCACACAGTGACGTGTTCTTGTGTTTAGGATTGGGCTGATAGACGATGCCATCGTCCATCGTCGATGGCTGACATCACAATGTTGAACCAGCATCTAGCGAATTTTAAATTGTTATATTTCACAATATTACTGATTTTTCCTGTATTTTTGATCAAACAGGGCTCCAAACAAAAAAAATCGAGTAAGGAGCCATTGGCTCCTATAAGAAAAATGTTTAGATGCCAAATAATTTTTTTTGGTGCCACAGAATAAACGTGTTTTATTTATTTACATTTTTTTTTTTTACATTTCAATCATAATTTCATGTGTTTATGTCTCATCTTTTCTTGAATTTATCAGCATTTTAATCGATCTTGTAGATGACCTGCGAACTAAGGTTCACTTAAAGTGGGAACTAAACATCTTTTCCAACTTGAAATATATAGTCACAAAGAATTGTTCATGACACAGAATCTGTACAAATATCATGGACCATAAGCATCACTTGGCGGCCACTGAGTGTAGTTTGGGCTCCTCCTCAATGCATCCTATAAATGTTGTCATATGTCTTTCACACATTCAGTCTGTTTTTCCTCATTAGTAAAATGCAATTTTGTAGGAGGAGTTGAATCATGTAGACAACAGGTTAAGTAAAAATATTAACATCCAATAGTGCATAAATATAGCAAAATGCTCTTCTTTATAGTTATTTTTCTAGCTGACTGATGAGCTTATGGACACCGTATGGTTATTCTGGGGTAAATGTATTATTACATGGCAATGTTTACAAGCTTTACACGTTTTCGGCAGTGTGAAACACTGAATGAGCTTTTACATGAGATCATTTCAGTAAGTTGTACTGTAGGCTTTCTTATAAAATAGGATACGTTTTGATGTTAATTCACGTTCATTATGTACTATAGTAGAAGAGAAAGATATAATGGGTTCACTTGCCGCTTGAACTGAGGCGCTATAGCGATCGCGCCTGCCGCATTAAAGAGCGCCAAAACAACGTATTTACCGTTTGAATTTCGTTATGAATTTTGCATAATTTTAAAGCTGATACTTTGTTTATTAAAAAGTAACAAAGCTTTTTGCGATTAATGGACGGCAAGTGTGATTCAAATAATACGAAGTTCACGCATTAACAGAACACAGCATATAGACTACGATCTTGATAAGAAGCAGCCATATTAGTAATGATTATAAACGAGAATTGTTAACGATATTGCCAATATCCACACAGCTGACAGCTTTACCTGTTGTAGTTTGTTCAAGTTGTGCACGAAATAGACTCTGCTTTTGTGCACTTTTACTTGCACGTCTCCGTCATTTCGATCTCTCTCGCGCTGCACAACTGAGCTGCGTTTAGCAGGTGTGCGACAGCGCTGCAGAGATGAGGACTGTTTGAAACTTTTTTTCCACTAAAACTTTGATGCGCATCATCTCAGTTTAATACGTGAACATAGCAAATGATGTGATCTCAAAACAATCAGGAAAAAAGGCATTACATGCAAATCTTTAAGTCATAACATGTAAATATATATAGCCGCCAGTGACGACCTCAGCAAAAACTTCACTCGCAAATTAATATTTTTGGTCGCAAATGCGACCGTTTTAGTCGCAGTCTGGAGCCCTGTCAAATGTAGCCTTGGTGAGCATAACAGACTTCTTCCAAAAAAATCTTGCCGACCTCAAATGTTTGAATGGTAGTGTAAAAGAAGTGCAACTTCATGCGATCTGTGACTTAGCTGACAAACCCGATGCATTGTCTAGCAGCAGAAGTAGTTAATGCAACCC